CAGCACTTCGGTATTCGATGTGCTGAGGTTTATCCCACCCCTTAACATCAGTGAGGCGGAATTGACGGACGCATTAAACATCTTTAAGGAGTCCTTGGAAGCTGTTGCCAAGGATCTGTAAACAAATTTGCCGGCTCGAAGACTTTCCTCGTCTAGATAGCGAGGAGTTATGATTGAATATATATCTCACTTCAGACAATTCTTGATGCGATACTTTACCGCGTACATCTTCTCACAGCGTTGACATCTATATACTGTTAAAAAAGTAGAGATGGCTTGATTAACTGTGATTCTGTATCCCGCTTGATCAACGATAACTCGCAATTTCTCTGCTCTTCTCTAGATTAAAGCGGCTTCGACTCAGATTGCAATCCAACCAACATTCCGCACTTTCATGCAAATCACGACATCAGATGACCAAAACTTCCCCCAGCCCCACAATCAAATTTCACAATATGATTTGAAATTCATTTAACCATCTACTCATACCCGTAAAAATCCCTTTCTGGCCCGATCAGTAACACACCCCTCAAAGCCTCGACCCCTCTCGCCCAGCAAGTCTCATTCCCTCCTCACCATCCACTAACACACACCACCCTTCACTTCCCCAACCCCCGTCCCCCGCAATTGCCGCCTTAAAATTCCCCCTCGCATACTCCAAAACATCATCATCAAAGCTCCCCGGCTGCAACCACACCGCAGGGATCCCCGCCTCTTTCGCTTCTTTCAGCAACTTCTTGGTTACGGCTGGCGGCGTGATGACGGAGAGCGAGTAGTCAGATGCAGGGGGATCGGTCAGCGCGGTGGGGGAGGCGACGGTGGTGTGGTCTTGGTTTAGGATGTTTACGGTGGGAGAGCGCGGGTTGAGGGGGACGACGGGGAGGGAGTGGCGGAGGTACCATGCGAATACTGAAAGTGGGGTGTGGTTAGGACTTTATCTAGTAGCCAGACTAGCTTTGGGGAAAAAAAATATGGATTGATTGATGGGATGAAGAGCATACTTTTATGGCCATACTTGTGCGGATCAGATGATGCGCCTGCGACGGCGAAACGTGGGGATGAGAAGAAGAGTTTTAGCGCTGCTTCCATGTCTGCGGCGTGCTGTTGGCCTCGTGTTGTTGGCATTTGGGGATTTTTTATCTTTTGGTTGAAGGTATTTGAGCAAGGGATGTGTAAGTGAAGGTAAAGGGTAAATGTAGTATGTATGTTTATGTATGTAAGTATGGCTTATCGGAGTACCAGATCGCATCAGCCGAGGCACATGTCACGTAATTATCTAGCGCGATTGGCGTGCTATGCGACTAGTACATCTTGTTATTGCTCTAATATACATTTTTTATTATTCGTTACGACTCGGAGTTTTGCTCGTATTGTATTTCCCCATCTAGTAGGAGAGTCTAGACTAGTCTACCCAAGTCGGACCTACTACTACGTACTAACATACGTCGCCTGTAAACCGCCGTGAAAGCTGCAAAGACGTGCGCGGAATCTCGACATTGAGGAGGGAAGTCTGTGCCGAGTCGTATGTTCGTGTTCTCATACTATCATCCTCTTTCTGCACGCCATAGTGTTGTTCTTCGACTACTGTCTCCATGGTGTCGGCTGCCCTCGGTGCTACTCTGAGCACGGGGTGCTTTCGGTCGGCTACATCGAGGACAGCCAAGAGATCGTTCTTTCGCGTACGTGGATAATCGTCACATGCGCCATTCCACTCTCCTGCACCAACAGCCTCATGTGCTAGTCGCTGAAGCTGCAATGTATCGTTTGAGACCCATTCTAGGTTGGCGAAGGGGTTTCGCTTTTTCTGCAAGTGCGCAGTCGCTGGTGGTAGAAAAACGGAGATGAGCACGATGAGACCACCAATAGAGAATATTAGTATTATACCGAGTACGTTGAAAGAGGTGTAGGAGTCAGATAAGATCTTCTGGCTTTGGCAGACGGCGCGTGCCTCTGCGGTTGTAGGTCCAGAATGAAAAGAAGCCGCCCTTTTGTCTGTTGGTCCGGTGGCCTGGTCGAGCATTGCTCGTTGAAGATCGGCAAGGGTGGTTTTGAACCAATGCTTTAATTCAAGCTCCCACTGGTTGTCAGGTAGAGCAAATTGTCCAACTCCAGAGAGGGTGTCGCTTGCGAGAAGGGCTCCGCCTCGCAGGACGGTGATGAGCTCATTAAAACCATTTGCCATATTCCTAATCGCTAGGGAGGACCAATGGAAGGTGTTGCTAGCTTTCAGTCCTGTGAAAAGAGTTGTTTCAGCCAGTCTAGAAGCTTCAAATATCCCCATCAGTGGCGTACAGCTGATGTTTTTGGGAAGCGACGGATTGCAAAATTGATATTGCTGAGCGCATGCAATAGTCCTTGCAGGCTGGTCGCTATAGTAGAAGGACGTATTGCCCAAGCCTGTGGATCCGCTGCGAGGTCCTGCTTGTGCGTTGTACCAAGGATCAGCCACCGGACCGGAGAAAAAAACATCGTTGATTTCCAAGAAAAGGACACTGATATCTGCGTTGGGCACATCCAGCTCAGGTATTGGCTCCCATTCATTAAGATATGAGAGTTCCTCGGTCACCTGCCATTTAGTGGCGGCCCTACCATTTGAAGTCAGTGATTGAGACGTATATAATGTGAGGGGAGCGCCCACGTGACTGTGTATTGGTTGCGCGATAGGGTACTACCCACTCGCACCCCGTAACCAAATGTCATAGTACAATTCTCTGTTTGTGGGCATATTCTTGGGTCGCTCCCATATAAGAGCTGCATGGTGTTTGGCACACTTGTTGTATTGAACTTTGCGTAGCCCTTGCCGAGTATAGGGGCACACTCGTTGACAGTGCGGTAGAGGAATCGAGACGAAGGCGGCGCATTGATGCCTAGATCGTGATGGCTGTTCAAAAGTCCAGAGTCGATGCGAATGGCCCCGTTCTCTTTACGGCAAATGGTATCTTTTCCTGCAAAAGGACAAGAGTCGCTATGTGTGACTGTGACGGGAAGGCTGTTTCGAACGAACGTGCGGCAGAGCTCTGTCGAATCTGACCCTGAATAACAGTTTGCCTTATAATTAAGGCTCGATCTGATTCGGCTGGCAATGTAGTATTGAGTCAGGGCAACATTGTCCTTTGTTATTAGAGAACCGTTCACAGTAGCGCAATTGTTCCCAAGAACTAGGACCTCACTGCCTCTAGATGAGGCAACGCGTGAAGAGAAGATACCAGCTGCAGTAAATGCAGTAAAGGTAAGTAGACTCGCAACTAGTGGTATTGAAGTTGCTTTCAGAGAGGCTGCGCACGATATCTTACGCCAGGCCCATGATAGTCTTATTAACCTCCATAGTGCGGCAGAGCTGGTGTCGGAGCTGCGAAGAATAGCTTGTTGTTGGTGGTAAATGGCATTCTGCGGAGAGGGTCGACTCAGGATGTGGTGGACGGTGAAGGAGATGATGCTCCAGAAACAGGTACCGGTAAATGCGACGAAAAGGGCGAGAAAAGCGATGAACAAGCCACCATTGTCCAGTGTGGTTGTGTAGGTTAGACCTACCACCGACCCATGAGACCAGTTGGTCCAGAGTCCAAGATAGATCGACTTCTCTTCTGATGACATGGCGGAAGACGGCCTCGTCTCAATGTATGAGCCAGCCTTTTGGAATCTGCTGTATTTATTTCGTTAGCCTAGAATGAAGTCTGCCAACGGTCGCTTTTGTAACCGCCGGAAGACAGGACAAAATTGTACTACCCGGCTCGATGTAATCCTCATAAGCACTTTCCCAATCCTGCCTCTTGGGAGTCCTCTCATTGGTGCAAAGTTATGCGCCTCGGTATCGTACAAAGCTGAGGCAGGGGCCGGAGCCTAGTCCGCAGAGCTCATCATACATTGTACAGTTATATGTGAAGCCTGATAGGTACTTGGCTGACAGGGAACTAACGTCAATGCTGTGTGGTACTACTGCAAGTTGCCCATCTGCCAGCCGTGTGTTGGGGGCCAGATGCCCGGTTAAGATGGCTGGGTGGGGGCCAATTTTCAACGAGTCGCAAAACTTGGAACTTTGAACTTCAGACTCAACTTGAAGAAGGCGCAAGTTCGGTTTGCAAAGAAATCTTCATATCAGTATTATAAAGACCTGTTATTTTGATTCTTGTTACATGTACGTGAGTCGTTAGCTTACTACCTCCGATGGTGCGTCGATTGTAACAAAGCCTGTCCATCTCCCAAGGTACTTTGCAGTAAGTAGGGGTTCTCGAACCTCACACGATCATGAGCAATATATGTACGAATCACTGGAATAAGAAGGTAGAGGCTTTGTAGGTTGGAAAGAATTCAAGGGTTAATCCGATACAGAGATGAATTGTTCAAACGACTCATCCGTCTTGCCCCACTACTAACGACCAGCCTATTGCGCCATTCAATCTTCGAGAATTAGGTAGTTGGTCCGCTGTGGGTCATGGTAACGGGAGCCGCTTTCCACTGTTTCTTTCTGGTTTTTCCCCTTATCTCTTCTTATGCAACACATCTTAATTGCAGCTGATGTACCGATGAATGTGAGAACATCTACAAGGCTTGTCGCTGTCGCTGTGGATGTGATTACGGAGACAGACAGGACTAGAGTAGTTTCTGTGTAATATGTACATCTTAAAGATCTAGAGTGTTTCACCTGCAGATATCGCCTCGCTGCTATCAAGCGAGGTTAGCTAGAGATTGCCGATTTCGACCTGAACAAGCGAGACGAGGCGAGCGCGGCTGCCCCCACGTGAGTAGCACAAAATGGTCTAGATTTATGGGGTTTGATATGACTGCATTGTGCAGTATAAGTGCTTACTAGATAATAAGCAAATCGCCCCCCCAGAAAACATGATGGGCCAAAGAAATGCAAGAAGAGTACGTATGAAAACGGTGCCACACTCTACACATTGGTACAGACTGGCGACTGTATGCAGTGTGATATTGAATCGGGTTGAGTCTTATTCTGTAAGAGAGCGTTGTCATCCCAACTTCACCCCAATGCAACGCATTCACCAAGGCTGCACACCATCTTTGTTGATAACCTTGCCAGCATGCTCGTCTCGCTTCCCCTCGACAACATCCCTGATGAGCTCGCCACCAACACTTGGATCTCCTGCACCAAACTTCTTCAGGAAATCAGGCCCCAATCCTCCCAATCCCGTAGCCAAGAACCCTGGGCTGATACCGAACACCTTTGCGTCGTCTGCTCCAAGCATTATTGCCCAGCTCAACATTAGCATGTTCAACGCCGTTTTGCTGGCTCTGTAGGCTGTTGGAGTCGGATTTTGAGGCTTGGGCCAGCCTTTTGCTTTGCCTGCACCGACAAGCTTGGAGTCGGTACCACCAGAGCAGGTTTCCAAGGAGGATAGACCGGAGGTTACAAAGAGCAACCTAGGGTCAGACGAAGCAATCAGGAGGGGCGCAAAGGTATACGTCATGACTTGAGTCGAGGTGACGTTGAGCGAGTAGGCTTTGTCCCAGACCGCGCGAATACTTTTGGGACTGGTATCTTTGCGCAGGTCGTTGTCAAAAGATGCACCTGTCCACCTAAGTAAACGAGCCTAGTCCTATCACATCCAGCCGAGGCATGACATACCTGCGTTGTTTACTAGGGTATCAAGACGACCATACTTGCTCTTGACCTCCTCGAAAGCTTTCTCAATGGATTCGTCATCCTCGATATCCAGCTGAATTGCCTCAACTTCTGATTTTGATTCCGGAACCTCGGTTTTGAGCTTGGAGATTGCATCACTGGCCTTTTCAAGGGAGCGACTACCCATCAAGACTTTGTAGGGTTTTGAGGAAGCATACAATGCTTTGACGGTCTCATAACCAATTCCGGTGTTTCCGCCGGTAACCTTCAAGTGAAGCCGAAGATTAGCACATGTTGCTTTGTTGCGTATCAAAATTACTACTAACAAGGATAATAGAAGATTCTGAAATAGTGGTTTTAGACTAGTAGCAGTATGTAGTAGTTTACTGATCTTGGTGATTTGATGCTTCCCTGTGGTGTAAGGAAATGTCCTTCTTATGCACAGATGAATGTGACCTCGGGCCCGGAGTTAGGCTTTAAAAAAAGCGAGAGTGAGAGCTATCTCTGGCTGGATACAATAGATCAAAGAGATCGCACGCTTAAGTTGATACGTGCTTGGGAATAAATAGATGAAGGTATTTGGGGGCCTAATCTGACAAGTGGTATGATGACGACATTTAGACATGGGTTGTAGATGGTTAGCGAAACTTTGTATGTACGTATACTATGATACCACATCTAAGAGTAACATGATGGATATGGTATTTGACAGTTCATGTTGTTCTTCTGAGCAGTAGCTAGCTAAACGCCTGACTTTCGTGTCTTGACAAGAACCACTTTTCTAGTTCAATCATCCAATCATCAAAACATGGCCATCAACACAATAGGATATATACAAAAACGGGCACAAAAGAAACCGTGAATCATTATTTAAACCCAATGCAGTCAAGAAGACATCTTCTCAACTTGAGTTTCCCCAGAATCTACTCACCAGTGACTTCCTGCTAGACTTGCACTAGCGCCAAACAGCTGATGGCGCGTCATTGGGGCGGCTTGGCCGTTATCTCCGTATCACCGCGTCAACCAGTCGCCTTACAATATACAACCTTCACCGTCCTTCCAAACCATATACCCAACAATCATGAAGTCAACAACTCTATTGCTACCGCTCTACACTGCTGCCTTGGCGGCAGCTGCTTCTTCGCCTCAAGACCATCAAGCTGTGCTCCAGGACCAGCAACAGGTCACTATCGCCGAGCCAGATGAGTATCTCATCGAGCTTTCGCCCGGCGAGACGCGCTGGGTGACTGAGAACGAGAAGTGGGAGTTGCGCAAAGTATATGATCTCATATCACACTACATGCAAACTATGTACTAACTATACTGCAGCAAAACATCAACTTCTTCGACATCACGCACAACAAGGAGCTCGGCACGCTGAACCGCAAGGTCTCCGCCGAGAGCGTCAAGTTCCCGGAGAAGCCCGTCCACAAGAAGGCCATCGACCCGCTCCTCAAGGAGCTGAAAAAGGAAAACATGCGCGCCCACCTGGAAACCTTCACCTCGTTCCACACGCGCTACTACAAGTCGCACTACGGGGCCGAAAGCTCAGCCTGGCTACTAAGCCAAGTCAACAAAACCCTCGTCGATGCCGGCGCCGTCAACGCAACCGTAAAACCGTTCCCCCACCCCTGGGGCCAATCCTCCATCATCGCCACAATCCCCGGGAAAAGCGACAAGACCATCGTCATCGGTGCCCACCAAGACAGTATCAACCTGTACTTCCCCGCCTTCCTCGCCGCACCGGGTGCCGACGACGACGGCAGCGGCACAGTGACTATCCTCGAGGCCCTCCGTGTGCTGCTACAATCCCCCGAGATCCTAGCCGGGGAGGCGGAAAACACCATTGAATTCCACTGGTACTCCGCCGAAGAAGGCGGCCTGCTGGGCTCCCAGGCAATCTTCCAATCCTACGAGCGCGCAGACCGCAACGTAAAAGCCATGCTGCAGCAAGACATGACTGGCTACGTGCAAAAGACGCTCGACGCCGGCGAACCCGAGTCTGTGGGCGTCATCACGGACTTCGTCGACGCAGGCCTCACCGAGTTTATCAAGAAGATCATCACTACCTACTGCGGAATTCCGTATGTACTAACAAAGTGTGGCTATGCATGCTCGGATCACGCCAGTGCCTCGAAAGCGGGCTACCCCTCTGCGTTTGTAATCGAGTCGGATTTCAAGTATAGTGATAATAAGATTCATACGACTGAGGATAAGATTGAGTACCTTAGCTTTGATCATATGCTGCAGCATGCGAGGATGACGCTTGCGCTCGCATATGAGTTGGCGTTTGCGTCGTTTGAGTAAAGTTGGTTTGAGGTATATGCAAGGCACAAGTTTGGATACTTATTACTACTACTATATGGATTCCCCACCCCCCCTCCCCCGCCCCTCGTTAAACGACTAGCGTGTATGGGGTAAATATGAAGAAACGAACAAGTGTACGATGATCTTTTTCCAAGTCTCTACGATATCTACCTATGTATTCTTTGACCGAACGAAGAGTGGAAATATGCGTCTCTACCATGTATCCATACACAGACACGCGCGCACAACATTGTCTAGTCCACTTGACCATATACACATACACACCCCCTTCAACTCACGACGAATATAGTCTTTAAACCAACCCATACAACGGCCTCGGCAACCCGCCCTCAACCCCCTTCTTAACCCCAATATACGCCTCCCTCCGCGCGGGATCCCCCACGGTAACACTCCAAGTCCTCAATCCATAATAAACCCCAATGTGATGTACCAGCCAGCGTCCAAAGCAGCCACCTACATCTTCCTCGGGGGTATCAAAAAGCATAAGTTCCTTCTTGGCCGGCAGCACTGACGAAGAGGAAGGGGAAGAAAGATCATTCATATGGCCATTCCTGCCTACAAAAACAATCTCGTCATCCTCACTGTCCGGGTCGGTGGGGACACCCATGTGCGCGGCCTCTCTTTCTTTCTCATGCCACTCGGCGACGAAACCGCGGACTTGGCTCTCGAGGTCCATCAAGAGTCCTTTCGCGCCGCGGGAGCGCTTGAGTTTGTCGCGGAGTTCTTTGGGTACGATGCCTGGTGCAGAAGGGTTGGTAGCGACTGTTTTCTTTGCTGTTTTTTGGGCGAGGGCGGCAGAGCGGCGGTCGGTGGATTGGCGGTTTAGGCCTTGGTCCCAGAGCGGGGCGAGGTAGTAAGGGACGTGTTTTGGGGTGTGGGTTGGGTGGACTTCCCAGTCTCGCGGTAAGGGGGGTTCGGCGTGGGGGTTGGATAGAAGACGATCTGATGGTTCACGAATCAATTATTTATGTTTTTTAAGAATGTCCATGGACAGGTTTTATGGGAGGATAGTTGGCTATGCGCAAAACGGGTACGTGAGAGAAGGATGGACATACCATTCTCCCATCTCTGCCTGCGCCTGGAACCCTCCTTTCCCTTGAGCAGGGCCTCACGCCGCTTCATGCTGTCACGGCGGAGCGGCTCCTTGCGACGATAGTATCCGCCTTCTTTTGCGGCTGCTGAAGCACCTACAGGATGTGCAGCAGCCGCGGGCGCATCATGCTCATCGAGCGGAATGGCAAGCGTAACCGAGGCAGTCTGAGGCGCATCTCCAGGGACGGAAATGGCTACAGAACCCAGGGCAACGGTTGCTTGCTCAGTCCAGGCATCAATGTCGATGGGTTGAGGCGGCGCTGTGGCCTGCTGGGGGCTGGAGGGAACATCGCCGATAGCCATTATGGTGGCGTTGATAGTGCGATTGAAAGGGGGAGGAGGCGGGGGGGGGAAGCAAGAGGTGAGGACAGTGCCTAGAGAAGGCGGATAGCTGGAGAGCCGGGAATAGAAAAAAAATGACGAAACAAGGGAGACAGTAACCAAGCTTCTACTATCACCAAGCTGTGGGGAGGAATGTGTCTGAGGGACAGATGGCGATAAGTCCAAGTGCGGCAGCGCGATAGGGGAGTCCGGTCGGTCGGAGCATGTCATGGATGTTCGCGTCATGCTCGGGAGCCAATCATTTAGCGAACGTGGGGCGGAGGCTGTCGTCAATAAGCTACAAACGGCGACAGCCACATGAGTATGACGGTAGACATGTCGACAGAGTCAGAGTCAGAGTCATGGTCATGGAGCACGTGTAGCAGTGATTGTAAGTCAGGATGCGGCTCTTTCAAACATGGCGGATATGCTGTTGCTCTGTCAAGGGCCTATCCTGGCTCTCTGTCACATGTCATTCAGGGCGGCTATGCGGGGGGGCCTGTAACCATCTGCCCAGTCCTACGACTCTTCAGCCCAGAACTTGTCGATATCGTCTGGAAGGGCAATACGATTGCGCTCGGCAAACTCCTTGCAATTCAGCATAGGCTGATGCTACTTGCGCAACGTGACCGAGTGCGTCGTCGTCTTACGACTATCCAACTTAACGTCCGTCCCTGTGGGTCGAACATCCCTCCGCAACGAACCACCAACATTGTTCAAGCACGTTGTATCCAAGCCGCAGAGACCATTAGATAGAAGTGCATCTTTATATGCTCTTTAGATCTATATCTATCTGTAGCAGGCCTTGAATAGCAAAATTACAGCCATTTAAAGTGCGTCGTGAATCTTTCGTGTTGAGCGTGGAAGCTGCAATGACGATATACCCCTGTTCTACCTCTCACAGAAGCTATGCTTACCTATTCGGAGGCCCTATACAATATATGATAAACTAAAGAGCCTTTAGCTATCCTATAAAGACGTGCAGCCTCTGTTTAGATGCACTCCAAATTTTTCCGGCTTGTTGTGTTAGTCCTTCGCGTTTAGCGAGAGGATTTATAACGCTGACATAGCAGGATTGCGAACGCTTAGCGGCCTCCAATGTACACCTGTGCTATACCAAAAGAGCTGAAAGTGTGGCGCAGAGCTCTGGAAGCTTCTACTGGGTGCTGCTTAAGCGCGCAGTGGCCAGCTATTCTTAGAAGCTGACTCGTTATGGATTCCGTTGGCCTCGCGCCTTTCCGTCGGCTAGATAGAAAGGGTACTTAAGTTAAATTTAAACCTAGATGTTGTTCACAAGTGTTGCATTTGCGCAACTGCTTTCTCGTTTTCCCTGTCGTAACGGGCAAGCTTCAAACGCGTCAGTGCTTGGACCCCTGCCAACAGCGCCAAGGGCCTCACGTCCGCAGCTTTCGATGCAGACGCGCTTCAGCCTTGCGAGCAGAGCACGGCGCATGCATGGAGCCACACCTTACTTACCCCGCCTCGGGCTTCATGTAGGCTGTATCACCAAGCCAAGAATACAACGAAAGCCGACATCCTCAGCTCGCGACATCTTTGATGAATTGCAGGGTCCTGCTGGTATCTGAGCTGGTGCACCTACCACGATTCACGATGGCTTCTTTGGATCTGGATGCTCTCTATTCTCTATACTGTATCAAGATGGTACAGCAGTACGATGCTGCGCTACTTCTATTCCCGCAATTCTCCATGTACTTCTGTTAGTAACGATCTTATACGCAGTAAGCAGAAGCCTAAGTTTACACTTAAGAAAAGGAGATGGTTTACCTGCGGATGGACACTGCAAGAGCTCGAAAAGACACCGAAGCAGAACGTGCTAAAGAGACTAACGTTATTCTCGCCTAGATTAGGCAACTTGTACAAGCGGATGATACAGAAAATGAGCGAGTCTGATGACGCCGCCGTCTGTCGCTGTGTGCTGACTTCTTGTTTGCATCGAAATGCACCACACTTAATACAATTATATATATCTGGGGTCTGTCAATAGTGACAATGGGAATTCAGAAGCCAAAGACTTACGATCATCCAATGTCCATTTGCGTAGAATATATACGCGGACGTATGGACGCACCAAGGTTAGAGTTATCATAATAGGGAGGCATATCAAAGCCGCAATGATGATGGGATACCCATAGAATTTGCGATTTGGGATGTCGGGCACAACACTCTGGCGAACACGACAAAGGTCAGGTTCTGCTTCATCACGAATAAATAGGTGGCTATACTAGTGTGATATTTTCTAACAAAGCGTACATTTGCATCGGCATATCCGCCCTAGTAGTCGTCATTATTCTTGACTTTGTACCTCAATGAAATCCCACACAATCTCCTCAGAGCTCCAGTCCATATTGATCTTGATCTTCTGCTTGATCCCATTCTCCGATTCGTTTCCGAATACACCCAAGGGACGAAGATTCTCATCGTGAATTACTAGCAGAACGCATCCACCTTCTGGGCGCATTCGGGGACATATGTATTCGTTGTTTCGATGATGAGGAGATCTACAAAATAGAAGTCCGTGTTCATGATAACCAAGATATTGCGCAGAAGCTGGATCCCTAAATCCTATCCAACCTTTCTCCTCGACGCATCGCCACCTGAAAGTACCAAGCCCTCCTAGTTTGTCCATCACGACCTCGCCGTCCAAGAACGTGATAACCTGTCCGTTCTTGCGAGATCGAATGATGAAGGTTCGCCCAGGCCATGGGATGGAAGATTGCGGAATTTCGCTACTCAAAGTGCTCTTTGTGGTATTTTCGGAAGATGCAGAAGGTGTACAGATATGCCAAGTTTCGGACCCAATAATAGAAGGAGCTATGGGCTGATCGTGCGCCATGTTGTCGACAACCGGTTTTGATGATGGTTTGCTATGTGCGGGGACTGAGGTGTTCAGAAGGAGGTTGGAGGAAAGATGTACTTTTGAGGGATTTTTGATGAACGTTGCATAGCCCAGGCGGGCAGTTGAGGCACGGTCGTCACACACTCGGGTGCATCAAGTACTTTCATTGGTGTTACTCATCCCGCTGAAGTGGAGCGGCGAATCAGCGCATGTTCGTCAGAATTGCTTTAGCGCTGGCCTTGCGCCAATCATCGTAAGGCTATGATCAGGAAGAGTCTGGCTTTGTTAGGTGACTTAGGCAAGGAACGGTAGATAAATAGTTAGAAGGTCTGTGTAAATCTGTGTAATTATCTTTATGTTTGTTAAGAATGTCGAGGCCATACAATATTTGTTCCACACATAGGTGACAAGAACCGCGAGAAATTGATATTCAATCGACTTCTAAGAATAGTAGTGTTACACGGGGTCTGGAGTGCTAATACTTCTCTGGCTCGATCCGGGTTAGGGCGAGTAGGATTGGGTTAGCGCCGTGAGAGTTGCCTGGCGATTCTTATGGAAAAGAGTTATGGATGTAACC